CAGCAAAACAAGCGGAAGCCCGATCACCATTCAAGACACTACGTTAAAGAGGCTGAGAGACAGACCTCGAGATCGAACAAAGGGGACGGGAACAGAAATCTTGATGTAGGCGAGATCGGGAAGGCCGTCGAACATTTGGTACAAGAGCCGTCGGCGACTGCATCATTCGAGCCTCACCACGATCTCGACCCCTTACCATCACCTCGTGCATATATTCACAAGACCCCAGAAAGTCTAAACTCGACTGGAATGGGTGATCCGGTTCGTCCTCCCAGTGTGAGCACTAGGGAATTTGCAAACACTCCTGGCAGATCAATGCTGACAAGTGTCCCTGAAGAAGTAGAAGTCAAGAGCAACGGCCACGCCATGCCGCCAACAGAGCTTATGACTGAGACGTGGCCGGGGAGCAGTAACCTGTATATTGACAGTGACCCTGCCAAGGAGCGACTTCGCTCTGCTCTGGGGTACCAGTCAACATTTGACGAGAGAGAATATGCCCAAAAGCAAGCTGAAGCTCGTGCAGCTCTCATTCGGCTCCAGCATAGTTTGAACGAGAACTTCCTTACCCAGTCAACTCCTGTGCCAGATTCGCCCTCAACCAGACATGGCTCTTCGAAACATGCCTATTCCTTCAGCGACGGGAAACCAGCCGCGCCGTCATCTATCTTTTCACAGGTCAGACACTCACCCACCCCGACAGATGCGATGGGCGAGGCTGACAGACGGCTTGAGGACGGTAGAAGCCCGACTTCTCATCATCAATGGACGACGGTGTCGCACGAAAGGGAAGGTGGAAAAGCTCGGAGAAAGAAATCAACCCGTAACACCGTCCAAACCGACGTGGGTCGGGGGAAAGCAAAGGAGAAGCAGAGAGCGGAGGCTGATCTGAATGGACCTGGTCCGTCCATCATCAATGACCTAGAGAGTCCAAAGCATCCTCTACACTTGCCACCACCTCTTCGCCTCAATGGGCATCCTATCCACCACAATCTACAATATCAGCCACCAAGTCCAGGCGAGGTTTCTTTATCGAACTTTCCAATACCTGTCTCCTCTCCGCGTCAATCGATTATTCGGCCGCCCATGACTGAAGATACGGACAGGCAACAGACACCGACGCCGACCCAGCAGCACACGCCTCAGCAACAGCTCCCCGGCAGTGTGACTGGAATGAAAGAACGCATCTTGCGCCGGCAGGCCAGCCAACGAAGCCAGGCAAGCAACAGCTCGGCATACAGTATTCCCTTTCACATGATTCCGGATCGTTCGAGTAGCATACGAGATTGACCGGTGATGGACACGGATGAATAAAAGCGGCAGATTTTCCGTATGTCAAGAAAACTTCGCCAGATCATGGACGGACGGACGGAGGATGGATGGATGGATGGATGGATGGACGGATGGATGGATGGATGGATGGATGGGCTTTGGGTATAGCTCAGGAGGATGTTTTTTATCTCCTTGACTGACTTCTTCCCAGCGATACCTTTTGTTTTGTGTTCGCAAGCGACCTAGGATGATGGATTTCAAGAAAAAGTTGTTCTTGTTTGGCCATGTATCAACGACCCGTGACGACTCTTGAGGTATATCGATCGACGCCCATTGCAAATTGTGTATCCACAGTTCTTGAAAATCTTGTAGCTACTTATATATATATATAATACAAGGTGTGTCGGCCGTTTGGCGACAGGCGACAGGCGATGGAACTCAGATCAAGTTGCCTGTGCCTCTGGAAACAGAAACAGCAATGGAACCCCCTTTTTTGACACATCATGCATGATCTTTCGGTTTCCTCGTGACACCCTCCCATCCACCCACCCATAAGCGAGCGTGCCCGAGGCTGCAGCAAGACTGGGATTTGACCGACGTCGACACTGGTGATTAGTTGACCGATTCGATAGAATGTGTGTGTGTGTGTGTGTGGGGGCAGCAAGGACCAACAAGAATACGTGTCATACCGTAAAAGCGTGTGCGCCTACTGAAAACATTCTCACATGGACGAGAGGGCATGGTTTTGTTGACTTTGAGAGAAGACGATGGCGAGGAAACTAAGGCCACATCCCCGAGCTACAGAAACGCGAGGTTCATAAGGTCCAACCTACTCAGTCTCATGAGACAGATGAAAAGGTAGGGGATATTTTTCACCTGTTTCTTTGTCTATGTATGTACATGTATATGAAAATGTATATGTACATATGTATGTCGTACATAGATCACGAGTTCTCTTTACAGCTGTACGTAGGGGACAAGGTACGCGTACTAGATACTAGACACCAGGTACCAGGCACTATTCGTAGATACCTCCTTACAACCCCCAGACCTTCATCCACCCCTCCTGAGACTTGACCCAGGCTCTCTCGGGCGTGCGACCGCCTTCGACGCCCCGGCCGCTCTCCAAGACCTCCTCCTCGCCTGGGAGCCGGAGCCACTCGTCGACACAGTCGGGGATCTCTTCCTTGACGTGGCTGACCACGACGAGGGCCTGGTCGGGCGTGAGACCTGGGAACCGGACATTCTGCGACGCCTGAGCTGGAGAATCTGCAACGTTACCACCACCAGCCTGGGGTTGTCGAGGAGAGGTTGCGCTCTTCGGTGTCGGTGGTGCCTTATCCTCGCCAAACTCGAGCCACGACATGGCCTTGTCCCTCGTGTCCGCAGATAGACCTGAGAAGGCTTCGTCCAAGATGACTATATCCGGCTGCTTGATGAGTGCACGAAGAAGGAGGAGAAGCCTTTGGGCAGAGAATGGCAGCTGGCCGAACCCGTGGACTTGTTTGTCGGTCGCCCAGCTGAGATCTGAACCACTCCTAAACCCGGAAGCGTCATCAACCGCGTCTTGTCGGAGTTCAGGCTCCCACCACCTGAGGAAACGTTCCACCAAGGCGTTTCGTTCCGCGGTGAGATCCGGCTTTCCTGCGTACGTCTCTGCCCATGCACTCTCCAGCACTCTCCTCACGGTGAGGTGCTTGGGAAAGAACTGATGGATCTCCGGAGATGAATGTCCTATACGACTCTGGATCTCCCACAGACTCAGCCCGGGAACCCCCCGCGCCGGATCAGGTAATCTTGTGCGCCCAAAGAACTTTATCGGAAGGGAGTAGGACTGCGGGTGATCCGAAGTCAGGAGTGAGAGGAGCGTGGTTTTCCCGGAGCCGTTGGGGCCGAGGAGCGCGAGACGTGTGCCGGCGTAGATTGTCATGTTCAAACCCGGAGTGCTGTGACCTGGTTGTGGGGGAGGATGGCCGAGAACGGTTTTAGAGCCGTACTGGACAACGATAGAAGTGAGTTCGATCAGAGGCTCACCCAGTTGTCTGTCCCTGTCGCCCCCTAAAGATGACGAGGACTCTCCTGACTGGTGAGACGATCCAGTGGGTTCCAGGGCAGGTGTAGAGGACGGGGTGGGAGCTGCGGCAATGGCACGTTGGAGTAGCTTGCTGAGACTTTGTCGGTCATTTTTCTTTGTTTCCATATCGCGCTCGAGAGAACGTCCAGTTTCCTCTTGGGCGTCCAGAGCAGGGCTGGGATTCTCAAGCATTTCTGGATGTCTTGATATACCTGTCTCGCTCAACACATCGCCGGTGACGCCAGTCAACGGAAGGCCATAGTCCCTCGTGATTTGATCGACAACCTTTTGGTCCGCAGCTGAAACATCCGTTGCAGAGACCAGATTCACCCACCTACGTATATCCCACAACACTTTGGACTTTTCGCCCATCAATGCCACGGTATGGTTATGGCCAAGCACAACCAGATGGGTTATCCAATCCGGGATTGGGTCCTGAGGACGTAGCCCGAGCATCAAGAGCGGTGTCGACTGATATGCCAGCCTCTTCAACATAGGTGACAGGGTCACCAATGTAGGAGGATCAAGGCCCATGAACGGTTCATCGAGCAGGAGAAGGAGTGGTCTCCCCAGTAATGCCTTGGCAATCCTCGCGCGTCTTGTTTGTCCATTGCTGAGGTTGCTCACTGGCATGTTTGTCAACTTCCCCAAACGAAGATCCGAGATGACTTTGTCAAGGAGATGGCTGTCAACGCCTCCGTCTGGGGCTTTTTGTCCAGGATTGAGCTCTGTGTCGCCCTTGAGATATTGCAGTACGGTCCAATCTGTTTCCTCCCGTCGACTCTCATAGCGAGCACTGAGGTATGCGCCTCTTACCCCTCCTGATCCCCCAGCCACTTGTCCTTTTGCACTGTTGAAGCCCACATACTGAATCGCGCGTGAAGGGACACGAAGACGGTGGTCCTTCTGGTCATCAATGTAGGCAGAGGCTAAATAAGGGTACGACCTCGCATGAGGCGGCAAACAGATGTGTGAACCCCGTAGTATCTCGAGAAACGTTGCGCCGTCCGATGCACTGATGACGGCCCAATGCTCGTTTGTCCTCTCAACGGGGCGAGCTTTGTCTTGGACCGTCGCAGGCAGCTCGAATGTCAGGTCTGGGAACAGAGGTGGGTTTGAGGATGAGTCATGGCGATCGACCGATGGATGTTCTTTGTAGAAAGTCCCATTCTGGATCTGAATGAGATTGATCCGGCCACATTTCAGGGATTGCCGGAAGAGGCAGATAGCTGACCTTCGCATGTCCGTTGCATGGTTTTCTGTATATGTTAGAAAGGCCGGGTGCGCGAGATTATGTACTATTGACTTGCGAGATCGGAGTTTGCGAGATGCGCATCTCCAATTTTGGAGTTGACAACCTTGCCAACTAGAGCAGCCCTCGGACAAGGCTGCCGCGCTTCGTCCGAGTCAATCGGCAGGAGTCCGGTTGGTCTGAGAACAAGAAGCACTGAGATACAGCATCATCATTTCTAAGCCAGCTCTATAACCAGCTCTCTGGATATTTGTTACATGCACGCATGAGCCCTCCTTCACGCCCTCGCTATGCTGGAATTTATGAAATCTGGCACCAGAGCCCCAAGCAATCACCATTCACCCGTTCCAAGCTCATCCCATCCTTCCTGGCGCTACCTGGCCAACTGTTCAATCGTCATCAACCTCAAAGGAAATATTCATTCCGTCCACCTCTTGATGGTGGAACGTGTCGTAGCTCATCCTTGACGGCGCTGAAAAGCTTAAAGGTTGGCTTCATGTCTTCGCCAATGTCGCATACCGATGCCAGGTTTCCACATCTGTAGCAGTAATTTGGGGCGCTCCATACTGTCACCACGTCCTGACTCTTGAAGTGATATTTGTAGCCTTCGTTGACGAGTTGATGTGCTCTTGCAATGAGGTTGAGTCCGTTGACGTGGCAGAATTCCTGGCTAACTCGATCTCCAAACAGCCATCCGGCTCCTCGCGGTGATACTGCCCATGTTTCAACATCTTCGGGGTCTGACCATACAAGGTCACAGAACGCGCCTTCGTGCGGAATTTCCTGTGCTCGTGCGACAACTCGGACTTGATCGAGAGTTCTGATTTCTGGGGAGAGGCCACCGTGTACACACAGAACTTTGCCATCTACTATGGCTCCTAGTGTCATGAAATCGAAGACTTGGCAACAGGCTTTCCATACTGAAGTGTTTCCATATTTCTGCACACACTCCTCATAGAAGCCGTACACTTGGGTGATCTGGCGCGATTCGTGATTTCCTCTGACCAGGGTGATTTTATCGGGGTATTTCGCTTTGAGGCAAAGTAGAAGTGTGAGTGTTTCAAGGGAGAAGTATCCACGATCAACGTAGTCTCCAAGAAAGATGAAATTTGCGTTTTGTTTGCGTGAGATGATGTTTCCTGATTCTGATCTCTCGTCCTCAATCTCGGATTGTTGTGATGAGGGTATCTCTTCAGCGTCGCTGATCTCACTGCTCTTCTCGCTTGGCGTATCAGGGTGTTCGGATCCTCCCAGTTTCAGTTTCTTCTTGAGTTTCGGGTCTGTGATGGTAGAAGGCGGTTCAATGTCTGCGGAAGTGATGATATTTGCGGGCGTAACGGGTGTTTCGGGTGCCGATTCATTAGGCATGCCCCCTGCAACTCGGAAAAGTTCGAGTAAGTCATAGAATTGACCATGGATATCGCCGCAGATCGTGACAGGGGTAGAAACGGGTTGGATGTTTGATTCTGGTAAATACGGTCAATTGCAGCTCAGAAGACTGTGGCACTGGATGACAAACCTTCCATCATGAACTCTTTGACAATCTCGCAGAGCTGCTTCATGTGGTATTCTGAGAGGTACTTGCAATTTTTTGCTGCTTCGAGCCACTCGTCGGGTCCTGCTGATCGCTTGAGGCGCGCTGGCCCTGGGACTGGGACTTTAATTGCGCCCATGGCGCCGGTGAGAGAGAGGTGAGCTGGCTTGGATCTGCCCGTTCGTACGTAGAATCAGTGCCCAACTGGCTGGTTGGGGCTTTTGGCAGATAGCCCGGGGCAGGGGGGGTTCGCAGGGCCTTGACGAGGTCGACGTAGTTGAATACCTTCGGCTTGGGTAAGCCGAAGAAGGCGCGGCGGTCGTTCTCGTTGACTTGGCGAGAACGGCGGCGGATGGAGGGGGAGGGGGAGGGACAAGGCGGTGAAGAGGGCGAACCCTCAAGAGAGTCTTCTTCGAAGACGGGGAATGCTTCTGGAACGTCCGCCGTCTCTATGGCGGCGTCCAAATTGCGGCCTGTGGTGGTGGAGTGGGAGGAGGGAGTTGTTGGCGACGGGGTCGCCGCGGTAGACATCGCGGCACGTGAGCGTCTATTATCGGCAAAAAAGTAAATCCGTTCCGAGAAGGGTGGGAGGGCCGATATTTATGGGAAAGCGAACGCCCCTCCCATCATTCTGTATTCACTATTGACCATGTTGTTCATTCACTGGCGGTCACATGAATGATATGCTGCTATTGTCTCTCGATGAATAGCGGGCCTACGGTGACTCATTCGCGGTCTCATACAAACAGACAAGGTTCTCTCATTGTTTTTTCACTTTCGACTCAAAATCCTACAACAAATGTCTGGTCATTCTAAGAGTCGCGCAGCAGCAGGTGTCCTGCCTGTGAACGCTGCGACCAGGAAGAATGCAACTGCTCAGTCCGCATCGAAATCATCACCTAGAACGCCAGCACCAAGACTTAGACTGATCGTCCGCCGCTTGCCTCCTGGACTAACCGAAACTGAATTCTGGGCCACTCTGGGCGATGACTGGAAAGTCGGCAACGGCAAAGTAGAGTGGGCGGCGTACAAAGACGGGAAGGTCTCAAAAGAGTATTGTGCTTTGCCTCTAGAAACAGATTGATATCTCACTGACCGAACATAGTCCAGCAAAACCCTCTCGACCAGCCAGAGCTTACCTCAAAGTCAAGGAACAAACACTGCTGGAGGTCTTATCTAAAGTGGTCAGAGAATCATCATTTCAGGATGCCAAAAACACCACCAGAGATCCTTGTCTGCTGGGACCACCATCACTCGAATTTGCACCCTACAACAAGATGCCCGTTCCTCGCGTCCGACATGACGGCAGACAAGGCACCATTGATCAGGACCAAGAATTCATTGATTTCCTGCAAAGTCTGACTGAACCCATCAACAAACCAGCGTCAAATGGAGCCGAAGCTACTGACATCAAGGCGGACACGATCACTGTCACTCCGCTGGTCCAATATATCAAAGAGAAGAAGGCCAACAAGGCCAAGGAAGCTGCCCAGGCCAAAGCAGCGAAGCGGGAAAGTAAGGAGGCGAAGCCCACTAAGAGTGAGCGCACTCCGACTGTTATTATCAAGGGCAAGAATACCCCCAACTCTACAGAGAAGGAAAAGGACCGTGTCGCCAAAGCCACCCAGGATGGAGTGAAGTCAACCAATAAATCGGCACCTGCTTCACAAGGAAAGCAGACGGCATCCTCAAAATCCGAGAGTAAACAGACATCAGTAAAGGATCCTCGACCACAGTCTCCAGCAACTCCTGGCGTAGGCGCGGCATCAGCACCTGCTACCACACCTGCGAAACGAGAGCGAAATCGAGAGCGAGACAGCGGAAGGGCTGCTGCTCGAATGCTGCAACGGGATTTGGGACTGCTAGCAAAAGAAAACACCTCGCAACGCACCCCAAAGTCTCCATCAAATACAGCTACCGCAAACGACAAAATGACTTCATCCTCAGCGGCAAAACCGTCTACTTCTACCACTTCCAAGTCTTCAGGACCTTCGACAGAGCAGTCCAAGCCAGTCACACCTACAACCGCTTCACCTGCGGCTCCTCCAACTGGCCCACGCGCTTCACGAACTCCAAACACTACGTCTACCAAATCAGAACCATCTAGCGCAGCGTCAGCGTCGTCGGGCCGACCACCAGCCAATCAACGTCAATCTAAAACCTCGTCTTCTCAGCAGCCCACCACAGGCGCGAAATCCGCGTTCCTCAAGCACGCAAACCCATCTCAGGGCATCACGGAGGACCTCCTGCAACAGGTCTTCAAGGAATTCGGGGCAATCACACGCTGTGAGATCGACAAAAAAAAGGGATTAGGTTATGTCGACTTTCAAGACCCTGAGGCGTTGAAAAAGGCGATGGCAGCCAGCCCAGTCAAAGTCGCGCAGGGTCAAGTTGTTGTGTTGGAGAACAAGTCGCATCATAGCCAACAAAGCAAACGCGGAGGAGGGGGTGGAGGTGGAAGTGGTGGCGGTCAAAATCAAGCAACCTCTGGGCACGGGAAAACAAGGACTGCATCCCCTGCTGCGGCCCCAGCGACTGTGAATTCACCCAAACCAAACGCTGCACAGACGCTTGCTGTAGAGACATCCACCAGCACAGCTACGACTGAGCCTGCCCCAACAACGCCAACCTCAGCGACGCCACCAACTGCACCACGAGGCAACTCTAGAGGTGGCGGAAGCGGTGCTCGTACGGGTGGACGTGGGAACAGTGGGGGAAAGAAAGAGGGCGCCCGTGGTGGTGGTGGTGGGGGCGGGTCAGGTCAGGGTCAGGGCGGGAAACAAGGGCAGCGCGGTGGCAGAGGAACCTTTGGAGGTGGCAGACGTGGCGCGGGGGGTGGACAAACAAATGCAAACACAACCGCTGGTGTTACTGGTGCTGCTGCTGGGAGCTCAGCGGCAGTTGAGGGCGCTCCCAGCGCTTCCTCGACACCTGCGGGCAAGGAAGATAGGAAGAAAGAATGAGCATGACACGACGGGCGCTGAGCTTAGCTGAGCTTGTAAACGCTAGAGACGCACGTCGACCCTTCTTTAGTATTCGTAGTATACGAGATACAGAGCGAGGGGAATACCAGACACAAGCCAAAACGATGAACAATGGTTATTATAGCCATCTGCTCTCCGAAGTTGACGATTCTACCAAAAGGCTCCGTTGTGATACCTCGCTTTGACACACCGTTGTAACTTTTTGTTGGGGGCTTGAGGCGACACGTAGTTTGCAAACAATACTCTGGGATATGCTGCTCTGAACTTTTCTCCTCAACTCTCCCCATAGGCATAGCAGTCAAGATGTGCCTACGTCCTGAGATTACCGAGTACATGCGTGATCGGACGCTTCCGTGAGAAGATGGCGGTTACGCGGCGCATACGACGAGCATTCATCGTCTTCTTCTCGTTGGCGGAGCGGGCTCAAATGCATCGTCGTCATCGTCATCATCATCGATCTGCTCGTGGCTCTGACTCCGGCTCCCACCCGTGCTCCGTCCGTTCCCCAATATACTGTTCTGCGACATGGTGAAGCTGAGGGTCGACTGTTTCTGCTTCGAAGCCGCTGCACGGGCAGGTGGCTTTTTCGTCGCCGGCGTCGATGATGCGAAGGAGGTCGGTTTCGTTCTGGCCCCGGCTCGGGTTGTCGTGGTGCTGGCCGCTGCTGCTGCTGATGTTGCGCTGCGCCCTCGCGTAGCTGCGGCGGTCTTACGCTTTTCAGGCACAAACATGGCTTGAGAGTCGTCTTCCTCGTCATTGTCCTCCATGATGATGTCGTCGTCCTCTTCTACATCGTCTTCATCGTCTGAGATTGCCCGCTTCCGCGCTCGTGAAGCGGTTGTCGTTGCGGCGGCTTTCTTCGCTGTGGTTGTCGCCTTGCGAGTGGTAGTCGTTGCCGTTGAACCAGCTCCACCACCTCTTCCTCTTCCTCGTCCCCTGGCTGCCGTTGTTCTTGGTGCAGGTGTTGCCCCTTCACCATCTTCGTCTTCATCCCCGTTTCTACTTTCCAAATCCTCTGAATCGCGCAGCAAAGCAGCAGGGTTATCCTCCCATGGCCCATCGTTATCACTATCCCAGTCGGCCGGCTGAGGTTTGAACCTAGCTTTGTTCTTGGACACCTTGAGCATGCCCTTCGCAAACATCTCTTCCATCTTTGCACGCTGCTCTTGGATCTGGGTCGCCAGGTCTTCGTCGTCGTCGTCGGCGTCATTCGCGTCGGTTTGCAGTCTGACGAGGTGCTTGATTTGATCCGCGAGTGATTCGTTCACAAACATTTCCATGGCGTGTTTGTCATCCTTTTCCACGTATTGATTCACAGCGTCACCAAAATAGTTTTGGGGGAGGATAGTGAGGGATTGGGCTTGGAGGAATTCTCGGACGAGTTTGTCGACCCGGATGGTCTCCAGACCTTGAAGTTTGGCCATGATCTCCTTATCTGCCTGTGCATCTCGAGCTGCGCGTGCCGCTGCGTTCTTTTTCTTGACATGGAACTGGACCACATCGTTGGTGTTGGCGACCTTGTCAATGAACCTGTTGGAAAAGCGTTGGGGATTTTCAATATCAAACTTGCCGATGCCGTCGGCCGAGGTCGTCTCAACGCGCAGTCTAATCAAGGGCAACGGGCATTCTTCCTGTTCCTCGTCTGGGTATTGTCTTTCTTCTTGCGCCTCTGACCATTCCTCCCTGGCTTGCTCAATTAGCCCGTCCACAATCTTGATCATGTGGCGGGTCAGCTCTGCACGATGATCGTCTTTGGATCTAGCAATCCGAACAGCATCTTTGTCTGCGGCGAGCGTGATGTCCTTGTAGACAAACGGACGGACTGTTTTCAGCCGAATTGGTTCACATGTCATGTCTCGCCCAGTGATCGTCAGGATTGCAACCTTTTTAGGGACGGCTTCGCCTGGGATCAAAGAGGTAGCAACAGAGGAACCTGGTTGCATAACCTTGAAGTTCATTTCTGGATTCAGTCTGGGTTCGATATCACACTCGTGCTCGTGGCCCCAGATCACCAGATCCAGAAAATCTGGCAGAAAGTTCTCGGGCAGATATGATGTCTCTGTATGTGCATGGTGATTTTGATGAACGCATATCAAATTGTACCAATCGCCCATCTGCTTGCTCGGTCGGTGGAATTTGACCTTGCCATCCCTGAAGGTTCGATGCAGGCGCTCATCTCGGACATTGGAGAGGCCGTACAGGGCTAGCTTCGTGCGGCCTTTCTGTATCAAAACCGGCTTGACCACGATGTTATCACTCTGAGGTGTTTTCCCGTAGTAGTTGATCAGTCCAGAAACAGCTAGCAGGTCAAGAGCAGAGTAGTGGCCTTCCCCGGTTGGGTCGTCATGATTCCCGTGTATGGAGAAAACGGGGATTCCAACATTAATATTGGCGTCTTCGTAGTTGACATGGTCGAACGTGGTGTCGAAATGTTCCGACTCATCGGACAGCATTTCGAGCTCGCAAGGTTTGTCACCCAAGCAGTTGAGTCTCAGGGACCGCATGACATTGTACATAGACTTTCGTGAGGGTTTGTTCTCATGGAAG